AAGTCTCTGCCCACGAAAAGAAAATTTAGACGTGACTGCAGATTTTTATCAGTTCACTTGAGTTGCTGGTGTTTTAATGTTTCATGTAATTTAGAGAAATCAGCTACTTACTGTGTTGTAGACCGAATATGCAGAGAGGACATGAAAGAGAGCCTGCTGCCTGTAAATCAAAGAAACAGGAAGGAAAGGAGAAGAAACAACAAAAGGAAACAAGGAAGGGAGTGAGAAGGAGAGGAAATGAAAAAATGAGTGTCATGAATCCTGACAGTGTATGTGAAGCTGTAAGCAAACCCCACAGCAAACAGTGTGCTGGACACATACATACAAACCAGAAGTGAGAGGAAAGGACAAAATAACAGTAATACAGCGAGACTACAGCCCCGTCTCTGCTCTTTAAAAATCATTTTTGTATCCTGAACATCGGTTAGATACTGAAATGTTCTCCTGCTTCTGAACAGGCCTGTGGACCATTACACTGACATCACTCTGTGACAGGATCAGGTTACACATAAACCCACGCCATCCAGAGCTCAGCCTGCCCACCTCTCTCTCACACTCAGTCCAAGTTCACCCCGAGGTCTCTCTGCTGCAGACGCTGATTTTTTTTAAATCTGTTTGAATATGGTAACAGTTACAACCTGGAAAATGATATGTAACACACACTACATGACCCAAAGTATGTGGACATCCAAGCCATGCGCATCGATGTCCTTCTACAACAACCTTAATTAGTCTTGTCTCAGGTTTTCCCCTCTGACAGGAACCTGGACGCAGGGATTTCAGTGCTCAGCCTACTCTGAATCCAGCCTACACTGCAGTCAAACCACAACTGCTGGTTCCTTTCAGAAGTAAGAAAACTCATAAACCTATTTGGATTTTTATTTAAAATATCCATCCATCTTCTTCCGCTTATCCGGGGCCGGGTCATGGAGGCAGCAGAGTAAACAGAGAAACCCAGACCTCCCTCTCCCCAGCCACCTCCTCCAGCTTATCCGGGAGAACACCAAGGCGTTCCCAGGCCAGCCGAGAGATATAATCTCTCCAGTGTGTCCTGGGTCTGCCCCGGGGCCTCCTCCCAGTGGGACATGCC